TGTGTACATGACCTTAGTAAAAGTACACAGTATACTGTGTACATGACGTAAGCAAAAGTACACAATATACTTTGTACATGACCTTAGCAAAAGTACTTAATATACTGTGTACATGACCTTAGTAAAAGTACACCGTATACTGTGTACATGACCTTAGTTAAAGTACACCGTATACTGTGTACATGACCTTAGCAAATGTACACAATATATTGTGTACATGACCTTGGCAAAAGTACACAATATACTGTGTGCATAACCTTAGTAAAAGTACACCGTATACTGTGTATAAGACCTTAATAGATGTACTCAGTATACTTTGTATAAGACCTTAATAAAAGTACACAGTATACTGTGTATAAGACCTTAATAGAAGTACGCTGTATACTGTGTATAAGACCTTAATAGAAGTACGCAGTATACTGTAGAACACCAAACCGTTTACAGATATTGAGCTAGAAGTTGGTGTATAGCTTAGCATCATCAAACTTTGAACACAACACATTATGCAGTTTTGATTAAAACTTCTAATGTCAACACTGTCTGTAAGTAAAATATGCCATGAACCATTGGATGGATTTTAATCAAACTTCCAGAAAATAATAATTGGATGTACATCATCTACAATGGTTAATTTTAGGCTTCAACTGAATTCATGATGGCTGCCACAGCCAGCACAAGGCTATAAGAGTTAATTTCTCAAATACTGAGCTAAGACTTGGAGTGCTGAGTCATCCTCTGTACAAACTCCAAGCACTGACGAATCGTACGCAACATTTACAAGGTTTGACTAAACGGCTACAACCTCAACATGTCCATCATAAGATGATCTTCGTCTAAAACTCTGGCATTAAAGGTGGTGTGTGATCTGCATTCATTCAAGGACAGCTTGGCTTGTAAGATTTTTGTGATTTAGGAGTGTAACGTTGTGTTAAGCTTCAAATATTAGTCGACACATATACATTTGTTTCTAACTTTTGTTTGCGTCCTGAACTGATTGAACTAACTTTTTTCCTCTTTCCATGTCCCAGGGTTTGCTGAAGCTCTTGGAGGGTACGATCGTCAATGTGCCTGAGAAAAACTCCAGAAAGCTAAGAGGGGAAACGGTGCAGGTCGACACAACAAACATTCTGTTTGTTGCGTCCGGCGCGTTCAATGGCCTTGACAGGATCATTAGCAGAAGAAAAAATGAAAAGGTAAATTTTAACGTGTGCAGCGTGTCAACAAATGTCTGAATAACTCGTTTCCTGCCTCACGGGGAATTCTCGCGTGTTTCATGTCTTCAGTATTTGGGTTTTGGAACTCCCTCCAACTTGGGTAAAGGGCGCAGGGCAGCTGCGGCGGCGGACTTGGCTAACAGCAGCGGTGAGACGGACACGGTGGCCGAGATCGAGGAGAAGGACAGGCTGCTGAAGCACGTTGAAGCCAGGGACCTGATTGAGTTTGGAATGATTCCAGAGTTTGTTGGCCGTCTTCCTGTTGTTGTTCCCCTGCACAGTTTGGATGAAGATACGCTGGTCCGGATCTTGACTGAACCACGTAATGCTGTGGTGCCACAATACCAGGCTCTGTTCAGCATGGACAAAGTAAGTATTCAGTTATATTAGTTATTCTGCAAAGAAATAACATATTCCTGGAAACTACGTTGTAAAACCTACGCCGTGTTTTTGCTCCTCATGCCAAGATGCAACAAAAACAAGGTGTCCACCAGAATATGTCCCGAGTTCTTTAAAGTATTTTTTGCGCTCACCAGATTGTTTCCAGGTTTATTTTTTCTTTGTGCAGTAGTCCCGCACTACTTCGCGGGGGGTTTTTGCGCGGACTTGCTCTGTCACTGTTTTTCAAATTAAGATTGGACATGACGCACACAACTGTCTGATTGATGGATGAGCCGCACGATCGGCATGAAATTTTTATTTAAAATAAATTAAAATTATTTAGCACCTGCTGCACCTTTGTGCAGCCCACAACTGCAGGAGAAGCTTCTTCCTGCAGCATGTCAAATCTCCGCTCTGCAGTGGAGAAGTGAGCGTGGCCGAGTTAGTACTTACTACTTACACTTCTACTACTAACTACTACTACTACTATTACTACTTGTGTACATAATTTTGTTCCATCTCATGTACCACATGAGATGGTAATGACAAAGTTTACTTGGACTACTGTATCCATACTTTGTGGTTTTCCACTTATCACGGGTGGGCGTGGTCCCTAAACCCCCCGATAAACAAGGGACTACTGTATTGCTAAAAGACCTTTTTGTCAATTACACAAAAAAGGACATTTCTGAAAAAGTCCTTCCTGGTTTTTTTTTTTTTAACACGTATGGCAAATGTTTTTTAACACTTAAAATTAAAAATAATCTAAATTTCTTTTTGTGTTAGTGTGACCTCAATGTCTCCCAAGATGCTTTGAGAGCCATCGCACGTATGGCTTTGGAGAGGAAAACTGGAGCTCGTGGACTCAGATCCATCATGGTTTGTCATTTTAAACCAAAGTGTCTCACTTTTAATTTTTCTTTTGTTTAATTAATTAATGTATGATTTGAACCCCCTTTTTTTTTTGCCCTCACCATATAGGAAAACCTCCTCCTTGAGCCCATGTTTGAGGTGCCGCACTCGGACATTACTGCTGTGGAGCTGGACAAAGATGCTGTCCAGGGAAAATCAGAACCCAGATACATCAGGTCCGCATCATAGAACTTTCATTTTATCTTCTAGAGCAGATTCATTAACTTTGTGGGCTTGTTTAAACTGGACCTTGGTTCTGAATTTCAGAGCTCCAGCCAAGGAGTCTGCAGAGGAAGAGTACGACTCCGGCATCGAGGAGGACAACTGGCCTCGGCAGGCGGACGCTGCTAACAACTGAACCACGTCGCTCGTTTCTCCTGCAGGTCAAGCTGTCTGAAATCATTCATTACCATGAACGTTTTGGATACTAAGTTTGGTACCAACTCTTTTCTTACTGCGCCTGACAAATAAACTGTGGACACTGACGAAGAAGCTTTCACACTGAACAAGTAAAGAGAGAGTAACAACCTTTGGTCTCGTATCAAATAATTCTCTACTGGTGCACTCACACTGTGGACCTTATATGAAATATTCAATCTCTGGGGATTGTTAACAGTTTATCTATATAAAGATAATGCAATTTTAATTATAGAAAGTATTTGTAGCTAGTTTGTATTCTCTTTTTGTGGTGATTGGCTGTACTGGCAAAGGAAGCAAATGGAAATAATGGGATCATACTGTACACTTGAAAACTGGGGGGGGGTGGGAGGCGCTTAGAAAGTGTAGATGCAACTTTACCATGTTAAGAAATGCCTTAAGTTCAGAGGGCATGATATTCCATGAACACATCAATATTTTGATGTTTCTGTCTTTACCACCATTGTAGTAATGGTGCTCCGAGTGAAATCAGTGGTAAATGTTCAGCTACTCCATAGGTTGTCTTTGCAAACAGTTTGTATGATACGAGCTCTTATCAAAAGGACATATTGTGAAATAAAAACACACCAGCATGCTAAGCACAGCAGGTGACAAAGATTAGCTCCTTTATTTAAGCAGCCTGGTTATTTTAGTGTTCAGCTTTTTCTTTTCGACAACTATTAAGAATGTTTTCTTACAGACCTCCCTATGGCAGGATTAATTCAAACAGCAGGAATTAGTAGATTGTAAACATGTTTGAAGTGATCAAACTTTTTTTTTTTGCAGTTGCTGTCCTCCAATATGAGCAACTCACCCCCCTCAAATTAAATCTTTTTTTTTTTACATTGCTCTCCCTCTGAGAGTCTCCTCAAATAAGTGTTTTTTTTTGTGGGTGATCCCTTCACCTCCAGTGATGTGTGTGATCAAAGCCCCACCCGGGTGGTCTCGTCTCAACCACGCTGCTGTTTGTCCTTTAAAATTAAGCTAAATCTCTTTTCTGTTTTCTTTAAAGTTTTTCCTCCTGTGAAGCTGCTCCTCGATCCACCGAGGTCCGTTACAGAAACAAGACATCCTCGCTTCCAAAAAGCTTGTGAATCCTAAATTTATTGTGATTGTTAAAAATATATAAATAAAATCTGTACGTGGGAAGTTTTTATTATTTTTTTGTTTTTGTGTGAAACGGTTTACAACACATTAGTCTTGCGTTTCACCGTTAGGCTCCTTTATGTAACCAGCTTATCTCTGGAAAGTGCGGCGCCTTGTTTCCTGATGCATCAGCATTTCCATAATCCCTGTTTCAGTGCACCAGGAAATTACACTGAAAACTTTGTCCGTATTAAGATATTAAATATGAACAAAGGAGCTAAAGCCAGCATTAATTAAACCGTAGACTCATAAGCATGATGTATAAATTAAATATCACAGAAAAAGTATACAGTTAGTTTTCATTGAGTTTGTTGCTACTTTAGTAAAATTATATATTTAAAAATGTGACTTATGATGACCCTTTCAATGCTGGATTACACGTGAGGTGGTAAACAAACCCTCGGATGATGTCGGAGGCTTAGTGACGAAGAGCTTTATCACGCACGTTGATGTTTGTGTCAGTCATTGACGCTCAGCGCCCGTCGCTTCAAGACGACTGGACCTGGAAGTCAATATTGGACAAAGGTAGGAAATTATTTGGAGCAAAAGCGACGTGCAACTGGAAACCTATATGCTCATTTAGATTTTTCTGAACAGATTTTTTTGTTGGCGCACTTTGATGATGAACGTTTTGGAGGACGTTCCTTTTCAGACCCCTGTGAGTCCGCTGGGGGTGGAAGTACAGCCGACTTCACTGGAGATGACGGCTCCAGACTGCCATCAGATTATGCAAGAAACTGAGGTTATACGTTTTGATAAAATAATTTTTTAGGCATCTATTATAGATTTAGCTTCGTAAAAATGGTGTTATAGCACACACATCCCTTTAACCTGCTTCTTTACAGCCATGTTAAAAAAGATGTGCAGCTTCAAAACTCATGTTTTATTTGAGTCTACGACTGAAACTGGATGTTTGCATGCAATGGTTTTTTTCCAGTCATAAAATCCGACCTTTTTTTTTTTTTCTGTCAATTAGGATTCCCAAAATTATATTTTTAAATGTCTGAATGAGATTTTTTTTTTTTCTTACACTAAGATTACTATGGATTTAAAAATTTGAGGAAAATCTGAATAGGAAGTTTTTCATAAGTTTGTTGACAACATTTGAGTTACTGTAATTAGAGGCACACTTAATACACAACTTATTTTAGGCAGAAATGAGCAAAGATCAGGAAGAGAATCGTCAAACAAGTCTGGTTCATCCTTTGGTACAGTTTCCAGATGCATGAAGGTGCCACAATCATTTGTTCATACAATTTTAGTCGGGTATGAACACCATGGAAATATCCTGCCATCACATCACTCTGTAACGAGGTTCTGTGTTCCCGAGATAAACGTGTGTTTGTGTGAAATGAGGATCGACCCCAAAACAAAAGCTCTTGTGAAGATGCTGGCTGAAGCTGATAAGAGAATGTTACACTTGGAGGGAAAAAGATGAAGCTTGCAAACCTGGTGCACAAAACCAACAGAAGTACTGGGGTGTTTTGCAGCAGGGTGCACTTCTGGTTAACGTCACAACATGAATGGCTTGATGAGTAAGGAACATCTCAAGACATCTAACAAGTTAAGTCAGGTCCTCTGAAGAGGGGAAAAAGCCGTCCAAACATTTAGTCTTTTGTCCAAAAGACGTCTTCAGTCTGAGATCCTGCAAACAAATGCAGTACCTTCTCATAGCGGATCAAGTTTGCTGTTGACATCCAGAACTAGCTGTTCGCATGTAAAAGGAGGATCATCAGCTTAACAATATTTCATAAGAGCCCCAACAATAGGTCAGTGCCCTGATAGCCGCTTGCTATTCAGAGGGCTGAGAGTGATACTGGCAGATAATAATATAGTAAGTAAAGTTTATTTATAATGCGCTTACCACAGACATAAAATCACAAAGCGCTGTACAATAAAAATCAACACTAAAATATACAAAGAATAAAACAAGCATAAGAACTATAAGAAGCACAATAAAATCATGACATAAAAGCCTGGGAGAATAAAAAAGTGTTCTCAGTTGCTTTTTAAAAACGTCAGCAGAACGAAGCTGCAGGGGCAAACTGTTCCACAGCCTTGGAGCCCCTGACTGAAAGGCCCTGTCCCCTTTAGTTTTCAGCCGCGTACGTGGAACATCCAAGAGGTCCTGTGACTGGGAGCGAAGGCCACGAGCAGCAGAGTGTTTGGTTAAAAGCTGACAAAGATACACAGGAGCCTGGCCATTTAAAGCTCTGTACGTCAGCACAAGAACTTTAAAACGAATTCTAAACTCACCTGGGAGCCAGTGTAGTGAATATAGAACCGGAGGGATGTGACAGTATTTGCTGGATTTGGTGAGAAGTCTGGCAGCTGCGTTCTGTATTACTTGTAGACGTGAAACAGAAGACGTGTCCAGGCAGGTAAAAAGGGCATTACAGTAGTCCAGACGTGATGACACAAAAGAGTGAGTCATTTTCTCTAGGTCAATTCTGGAGACCATAGGTCGTATTTTAGAAACGTTTCTTAAATGAAAGAAACAAGAACGGGAAATAGCTCTAATGTGAGATTCAAAGCCTAATGATGAGTCAAATAATAAGAGGGTGGTAGTTGAACACAGAGAACCCCCACCCCTGTTTACTGATTTTATTGTTTGGTTATTTGATACAGTTTGACTCCCATCACCCTTTGGAGCACAAGTTAGGAGTCATCAGGACTCTGTACCACAGAGCAGACAGCGTCCCCACTAGCTCAGGAGCCAGGCAGAAGGAGAAATCCCACACAAGACAGGCTCTAGAGCAATGTGGATATCCTAACTGGGCCTTCCTAAAAGCAGAGAAGAAACCCAAACAGGACTCCAGTCAGCCATCAGGTGAAAAGGAGGAACCCAGACCCAGACCAGTGGTCATTCCATATGTTGAGGGAGTATCAGAGAAACTGAGACGTTTATTTTCTAAACATAAAGTCCCAGTGGCTTTTAAACCCCCTAAATACATTAGGTCAGACTGGTTCATCCCAAAGATCCAGTTCCTCGGCACAAAGAATAATATTGTGTATGCTGTTCAGTGTCAGGAGGGTGACCAGTCTTACATCGGGGAAACTAAACAGCCACTGGCCAAAAGGATGAACCAGTTTTGAAGAGCAGCATCATCAGGCCAAAACTGCAGTTTACACTCATCTGCAGGTCAAAGGTCACTTTTTCCAGGGATGATGATGTTCACATCCTTGATATGGAGGAACAATGGTTTGAGAGGAGTAAAGGAAGCCATATTGTGAAGAGAATCCATCCATCGTTGAGCAGGGGCAGAGGCCTCCGAGTTCAATTGTCCCCCTCTTACAATGCTGTGATTGCTAGTATCAGCGCCCTGTGAATAGTAAGTGGCCATCAGGGCAGTGATGACTGCATGTGAAAGGAGGACCATCAGCCCAAACGACTAGTTCTGGATATCACCAGCTAACTGGCTGATCCACTATGAGAAGTTGCTGTTTATAACACTGTTTGTTGGCAGTGCCTCAGACTGAAGAAGTCTTTTGGATAAAAGACGAAACGTTCCAAGAAAGAAAGAAAAAACCACGTCTGATTTGGAGTGGGCAACTCAAAGCCCTGATCAGAGCTGAAAGTTGTGTAAGCTTATACTGGACCCACCAGTCACGTCAGGAGGAAAGAGAAACTATTGTGAGAAGCTTGTGGAAGGATATTCAGAATGTTTGGCCCAAGTCAGACAGTTTAAAGGCTGACACTAATGATTAATAAAACTGAAACATTGAAGAAAGTATTTAATAGTTCTCTAAAAAAATAAAATCCCCACCTTTATTTATTTTAAATACTTTTGAGAATCCTGACCAGGAAAGTTTTAATCTGATTTAAGTGAGAAAAACAGTTCTGTGCAGTTTTAGTACGTGTGTGTGCATGTGGTTTCAGCACAGTAAATTTGGAAAGTAGTTTTACCATTTACCAACATCCACCCTAAATATTTCTTTGGCTTGTCTCAGTAGAAGCGTAAACAAATGTTTTTGTGCAGTATGGATTTAACCTGGAGAGATGGATTTTAAGCAGAGAGCAGCCAGCCTCTCAGGCTCCATCCTGCCCCCCCTACTGGCTCATGTTCAGCAGCCCTCAGGAGACTCACAGGCTCAGTCAGTGGGACAGTGATCTGTGGGCCCCCCGGCCACAGCCTGAGTTCAGCAGACGTCCACCGGTTGCACCGTCGTACTGTCAAGTTCCTCCTAACGGACTCTGATGAAGAGGAAGGCTCTCGTGAGAACAAAGGGTCCTCCTCTGAAGGTGTGCTTCACCGAGTCAACAGCACAGAGCGGCCCCGGAGTGCTGCACCCAAAGACCCGGTGTCCAGAGTCAGAGACATGCACCTTGGTTATCCTTCACATGGAGGCAAGCCTGTTACATCACAGACCACTCCAGACTGCAGACGAGCCGTGTGTGCCCCGGAGCAGCACATGTGGCAGCAGGCCAGCCCCCGCTCACTGGGGCCTAAAAACAGCAAGAGGCAGCACTCACTGAGCAGAAAGTTCTCCCTAAACCCACCTCCTGCTGGTCTGTCCAGGCTCCAGCAGCAGCGACCCTCCTCTGCAGGACCAGTGGTCAAAAACCGCAGGAAGAAGGTAGTTTGTTTAAAGATTAATAAACAAAACAACAAAAAGTTCTCATTTCTCTTTGTTCCTTGAACAGGTCCTCACAACCAGTGGCCCTCGTGGGGTTTTCTTTGACTCGGCAGCAGAGCTTCTGACGGCTCTGAGCCAAGAGGAGAGGGAGTTACTTGAAACCATCACAGAGAAAGGATACCCGTTACGCACCGCTATCCTGGCTCTGCAGAAAACAGGATATCAGAGTCCAGAAAAGGTAGATCCTAACCCCACCAGCATGAATAATTTGCTTCTTACAGCACTGACATTTAAAAAAAAAAAAAGGCACCACTCATTTTGCAGTGCATTACAGGATACCTTAGAAAAAGATTTGGCATAAAAATATTTAATATACTTTATATTGGATCACAACAGCATATATGTAAACTGAAAAGCATATTAACCTAATAAATCCTACAATCTACTGAAAATAGTGCAAAGCATATTTAATACATGGAACTCATACATTGTTTTATTCCTGTTACCAGGTCCTAAAATACCTGGTTTCCAGCGACCGGCTCTGTCAGCTGGGTTATGATGAAGCACAAGTGGAAGAAGCTCTGGAGATGTTTCAGAACTGTGAGAGCAAGGTGAGCCCAGCTTCTATTTAGATGAAATAAAGAGCACTGCTGCGATTTACTCCAACTCCGTTTTGTTTCAGGCTGCTGAATTCCTGCGCCTGTTGACTCAGTTTAATGAGATGGGCTTCCAGCAGAGTGCCATCAAAGAGGTGCTGCTCGTTCATGAAAACCACCGGGAGCGGGCCCTAGAGGAACTCATGACACGTACCATGGCTTAGAGAAACCAATTTAAGCTAAACATTACTTTGATACAGCCGTCTGACAAGGTCAAGCAGCAAGATCTCACAACAGATGTTTGCATAAAAGTTTATTAACCGCTTGGTTTAAAAACAAAATTGGGTTTAATAAGAGCTGTCATTCCAGCTTGAATAAAAATCACAGTACGTACTGTACTAATAGATGTTGAAAATTTTATCCAGATGGAAAAAAATACATAAAAATGTCAAAAATAAATACAGTACAGCAGTAGGAAAAAATTACTAAAAAAACACAAAAGCCAGGAGTTTCAAGAAAATGAGTTAAATATTCAGAAATCAAAATTATTTTCTTTAAAGCGCTTTGTTCGTCACTGATTACTGATGGTGGAGTTCAGCAGTCCAGGTGTCACGTTGGATTTGGAGGCTTTTGCGAGATCCTTCTGTGAAGACGAGTCAAAATAAACATGAAATATTTCAGCAAATCTGAAGTTGTAAATAAATATACATTTGTAAGTAAAACAAGAAATGGATTAAAATGTTTGTCGTAGATATATAGCATAAATGAGCACTATAATTTGGGATGTACTGCTTTAACTGGTGTGTTTGTAGTTTTTAAATAGCAGTCTTCAGTAGTTGATGTCATCTTCACAAATGCAGGTTTACTTTTTAGTCGCTACAGTTTTTTTTTTTTCTCCTTCCCCAGTTCGATAATCTATAAAAAGAAAACCTTAATGAAATATACTTTATATTCTGACATTTAAAAATAATAAATCATTGTCAGCACCAATATCATTTAAATGGTACTCAGATTGCCTTTTGGGGCATGCAAGACTTGAACCAACCTAAGAAAGTTCTCCACCCTGCACTGTAGTTTTGTGCAGTTTGGGAGCGGGATGAGACACGAAAAACTCAATTTACCGCGAAATCTGAATAGGAGCCGGCAACAGAGTTAAAGGTGAGATCCTGAGGTTTTGGAGTGCCACAGGGAATGTTCCTGTTAACATGAGAGATGTTCTCCTTGTTCCGCTCGAGTGCACGGGGCATCCTTCCACGTCCTGAAGTCCACAGACCAAGACCCTACAACACGATTAGGGTGATTGTGTTTTTTTTTGTTCTTAATGCAACGACTAAAAATTATAGAACTAAACTGATAAGGAAAATAGTCACCATTATGAAAAATGATCCAAAACAGCTAATTTCTCCAGTGGTTAATGGTTTAAAGAGTCATGATTTCAAAGGTTTGCAACAATTCGGAAAATACCATTTTTAACCATTTCAAGAGCCACATGAAGAAAATAAGAGAGTTTCTCCTATGTCAACAAAATGGCAAGTTAAGAGAGAAAAATAAATTATTAAAGGACAATGAACATACTTTGCTGGCAGACAAAGGTGGTTTCTGCATATAGGACTGACTCATGGTTCCACCGAGGCCTGAACTCAGAAAGCTGTTCGGTGTGGAGACAGTCGAGGTGCCGTTGAACTAAACGGAACAAGAAAAGTTAGGAAACAGCATGGTAAACATGTTCTACTTAAACTGTACCTGTGGCAGGGGTGGGGGGGGCTGACCTTTCTTAGTTTTGCAGGTGTAGTAGGTCCTGGCGGTCGCCGTTTTGATGGTGTTCTCGTGCCATAAAACATTTCCTCTTGTGTTTGTTTACTTTTTTTCTGTTGCTATATCAAACAAATAATTGTAAGTCTGTAACCAGTGTTCCAAACATGAAGTCATGAAATTAAAAAGTAGATTTTAAAGAATCAAACGTACTCGTTCGAGTTTTTCCCTCTCCTTTTCCTCGTGGTGCTTCTCCCACTGCTGCTGCACATATTCAAGAAACTGTTGTCCGTTCACGGAGAACTCTTTGCCGTTCTCCTGCTCCCAAGCGTCGATCTGGGACTTCAAACTCTTCTCCAACTGAAGAATGAACCGTGAAGACAATTTTAGATGATCAGTCGTTTGTACTCATGTGAACTTTAAGAAACCAGTCCCAACATTTAAGAGATTTCCCATGATCCTGTGCGCTTCCACATGGAAAAGGACCTTTAAACCAATTTAATGTTTTAATGTCTCCACTTACTAGTAAAACTATTTTAGCTGGGCAGCCTTTTAGAAATTTTATACAACTTTAGTTTATAGAAATCTTTCATAAAGCTGCATATATTTGTTTACAGTTTAACTGAAGAGACAACATGAAAAACGTGAGAATGTTCATGTACCTTGGGCAAAGTTTTCTGCAGGTCAGCTCTTTGTTTCTCTTCTTTCAGAAGGTTCCCCCCTCTGTTGTTGAACCTTGAAGGGTCATTAGCTTTTTTCTGAAATGAGGAAAACATGTTTATAAACCACAATGTCTTAAAAAAAAAAAATAAATAGTAGGTTGAGTACTCACATCAAGCTCCAAGTACAAGGTCCAAGAATCCTGCCATTTTGTGACTCCCTCAAAGAGTTCCTCGTGGTCCTCGTAGTATTTCTTCAGACGCCGGACCTCTGTCTCGTGCAGATTGAGAAGCTCCTCAGTGAAATCATCTAGAAAAATAAAAATAAGCAACACAGTAAGCCTCCGATTCCAGCCAGTATTGAAAAGTAGGAGCTTCAAACAGACATTTTACCATTATGATACACTAGAAAAGCTTCCTGCTGTTCACTGCTGAAGAAGCATTTGTTCCACAAAAGAGCAATTTCTGCTCTGATGGACTCGATGACACTTTTCATGCTCTGGATTTTCAGCAACTCTAGGCGCTGGAGCTCTGTCTGCAGCTGAAATGTGAGATCCAATATTAATGTAAGCTGATGCATTTCCCAAGATTACTCATTTATAGTGATAGATCACATGGAGCTTTCTTACTGCTTCAATATTCTTTTTTTTCGAGTTGACCATATGCTCCGACAAGTCTTTCCTCTCATCCTGAGGAATCTGAAGTCTCTCCCACAGCTCCTTGATCTTTGTGCGGAAATCTGAACAAAGGAACTCGTTCTCTGCCTTGCGCTCTTGTAACTGAAAGAAAATAATAAAATGATGTGTGATTATTGTTGATTGGAATGGCCAACACTTAAAATTAAAAACTTACCCGACTGAGGAGAAGTTTGACATCAGCAATGTTTTCATTCGACAAGCAAAAAGCCTCCTCGTCCTCACAGACCACATCCGTTTCAAAACTGGTCTCTGGCTGCTGCTCCAGCTCATCCATGCAAACGAGGACCTGCTTCCTGATGCTCACAAATTCATCATGACGACGGTCCTGAAAATACGAGATGGATTAAAAACCTCAAATATCTTCCAAAATATGATCAAAAGTAAAAATGAAAGAGAACTTCATGAGCACCTTCTCTTTGATGAGATCATCGATGTAGATGCGAAAGCTCTCGAGCTGCTTCACTGATGGGACGGCGCTCTTGTCAATGCTAAAGGGAGTCGTGCACATAATGTCACACAGTTCGTGGTCTTTGTCAGCCAAGTCTTTGAGCTCCTTCAGTCTTTCTTGCTTGTGTTTTTCCAACATCTCGAGATGGGTCCGGCTTTCCTTTTCCAGCTGTAGAATAGTGCGGCCATCTCCCTCCTGCACAGTAACACCCAAACTTAACAAACCTGACAAATGCAATTTATGACAGAATTTTTATCAGAATGCATAAAAAAAAAAAAAAACAATAAGAACCTTATTGTTACTCTTAAACTGTATTGTTGTGTACCAAATAATATGTATATATAAAAAATAAAATAAATCATGCATCTCTAGGGTTTAGATATTTGTTTGCTTGCATTTTAAGTCTTTGCTTTCCAGTTATTAGTGACTGACAGAGGTGCTCTCATCACACAAACTGATATTAGTATCCCCCACCCCCATGCTCCACAAGCCGATATGCATTTTCAGTGTTTGCTTTCAGCTCACAGCATTTGGGTTATCTGCGTTCCACGATAGCCATAACTGCAACACAATCTGTACTTTTGTCAGATATTCTATTGTGCTGGTTTTTATTTCCTCCCATTTGTGTAGATTCTTACTCATTCACATAATGACAATCTTAAAAGCTTGACTAAGATGCAACTGGGCTTACTTTCAATACCTACTAAGAAATTTGCAAAAAATTACCAACAGAACCATCCATCCATTATCTTTACCCGCTTCTTCCATTTGGGTCACTGGTGCCCATGTCCAGCAATCACTGTGCGAGGGGCGGGGTACACCCTGGACGGGTCGCAAGTCCATCACAGGGACACATAGAGACAAACAACCATTCACTCTCTCACTCACACCTAGGGACAATTTAGAGTTACCAATCAGCCTAACATGCATGTTTTTGGTCTGTGGGAGGAAACCGGAGCACCCGGAGAGAACATGCAAACTCTACCCAGAAAGGCCCCTGGACCAGGATTTGAACCAGGGACCTGCTCACTAAGAGGCAGCAGCTCTACCAGTCGCGCCACCGTGCTGCCGCCCACAGAACCAAACAGAAAAAAAAGTAATAAAACTGTACAAAATCATCATTCTGTGCACAAAAGTAGTATTTGAGAAAATAGATTACAAAAACATCCCAATAGATTTAGAACCAATTTTGAAAGACAAAAAACAGATTTGAGAAAGAAGTGAAGGAAGACATCTGCATACATGAAAAACAACATTAAACGAGTGGTGGCCACAGGTTTCAATCACAAAAGAGTTAGTTAAATTTCATCTCTTCTCCTCGAGCGGTTTCACAGCAGTCACATCTTAAAAATGTGTGAATAAAACCCTGAAAACAACTCACAACGAACCAAACGAATCCGTGATTTGTGGGACTCCAATGTTTACAAGTGAGAAAACCTGAAACTCTCAAACCACAATCAGAACTGAAGATGCCTTTGAAAAGGCAAGTTTATTGAAACTTATTCAAGAATCAAGAAAGTCCAAATGTCTCAAGCACTCACAATTTATATACAATGTTTTGGTATTTAATTGTACCTTAAATGGGGGGCACTGCAGTTCACTGCACAAAATAGCAAGCTCTTTGCGGCATTTCTCAATGTTTAAGAGTAAATGCTTCTTGAGCTGCTCCTCTTCTTCAATCATCAAGTCCAGCAAGCTCTGCAAGGAAAAACAACAAACAAAAACAAACAAGTGTTGTCATAGTAGACCCACAACAACAAAATGTTTTAATTGATTTACCAGAAATGTCACTCACTTTAATGTGTTTATGAACATCACTGGTTCTTTTAACCCGCTGTTCTTCTGGGATCCCTATTTCCTCCCAAATATCCTGCAGCTTGACCAGCGCCCTGTTCAGGTAGGCGACAGACTCTGCTGCGTGGACCTCACTGGAAGGAAAGAAAAACAGCCAACAGTTCAATGTTTTAAATGACTGCAGCTACAAACAAGCCTGGACAAGGTCCTGACGATGTTCAAGCCACAAGGAAGAGAGGAGGCGGCGATTGTCGTGGGTGAAGCGGACTAGACACGCCACATTTCTGTTATTGGAAATATGACATTTATTCTAAAAGTTATAAATGTAACTGACGTCACGTTCCTAACACAATGAGTGAAACTAGTAAAACATGTATTTTTTGTAAATACTCGTGAACAGTTGATCGCCCGTGATACAAACCGTGAAAGCTAACAGTTTAGCTACCTATGGATGTATCTAGTAAACATAGCCAAGTTTAACAAATTATTAGAAACGTTACTTACCTCACTCTCATGTCGCTGTTGTAGATGAGAAGAGTGAATTAAAACAATCTTAAAAAAAAAAAACGTAAGAGCTAGACTCGGCACGACGGAAACTGTCGGAATAGCCGTTTTAAATGTAGGTCGGCTGATTTTAAATCTGCAACTAAACATTGTCTGAACGCTGATTGGTTTATTTTGATGACGTTGGCGGAAGTTGATTTTTGATTGTAAAACAGTTCAACATACCGCCACCTTCTGGATTGGAGAGCACAACAAGGTTCATTATTAACAACAATCGTCTTTTAAATACTTTTTATTGTTTTTTTTGTTTGTTTGTTTGTTGTTTTTAGAAAGTAGTCATTTCTCAACACGTTTTTTATGGAAATTTATGCCATTTTGTCATTTTTTCCCCTCTTTTGCTGTTCCAGCTGTTCCTGTTTTTAGTATTCTACATGTATAAAGTACCTCAAAGTGATACTTCAGTGAAAGTACAAGTATCTTACCATAAAAATACTTTGGTAAAAATTAAAGTCTCCTTTAAAATTATTACTTGAGTAAAAGTCTTTTCTCATATAAAATGTACTTAAAGTAAGAGTATTAAGTAAAAGTGAATGGTGAGAATTTTCAAAACATTGTTTACTGGGTGCAATATCCAATGATAAAAACTTGGAAAGTTTGAACTGAACAATGAAAATTGATCTTAAAAAAGTCTGATTCTAATGAAGTATATTAATTCATTAATCTTTATTAACAAAGCTGTTGGAAAGCTCATTGTTGTCTAGTTGGCTTGTTTACTGAGCTAGGTTCTGTTCGGTTATGGCTTGTTTCTTTTTGAATTTAATAGTTCCTGTGCTCTTGAATGCACCGTGGCTGTTCCAACGCTAGTGAACGCACCATTCTGTGTAAAGTTGGAGGTTTTTTTTTCTCTCTTCCAACAGGGATGGAGCCTTGTTGTTCAAGCTTGTTTGTGCTTTACTGGTTTACTGCTGTGTGTAAATACCAGAAGAAACACAGCAACTAAATCACCCTAAAACTGGAAATCTGTCTCCGTGTTCTTTAATGGGAAAACTAGTGGCCCGACAACTTCACCTTGCTGCTCAAGTGTCAGAGAAGTGGCCTCGTGAAGTCATAGACTGGGAGAACAAACAGGCATTGCCCAATCAGATTTCTTCCAATTTTATATTGTAGGAACAAGTAACTAAGATGGTTAAGCGTAATGTATCAGAGTAAAAGTACACATTTTATTGAAGAAATGTAGTAGAGTAAAAGTGAAAGAAATGAGAAATGTAAACAATGAAGTAAAGTAAAGATACGTCAAATTTCTACTTAAGTACAGTAACAAAGTATTTCTACTTTGTTACATTAAAACACTGATTCTACATCACTTTACATAGTAGCTGTCTTTGTTTCATTTTTCAATATCATTTTCTTTCATGCCCCTCACACAGTGATTGCTGGACATGGGCACCGGCGACCCCCGTGACCCAAAATGGAAGAAGTGGGTAAAGATAATGGATAGATGGATGGAGTCTAATTCGTTCTTCTCATCCTGAACAGTCATTGTACTGTTAACTTTATGTTCACCTGCATATGACAAACTTGAACTTGGATGGATGAATGGATGGATGGATGGAATAAAAACAGTAAAGATCTAACACAGAACTTCAGAGATGCATCATCACTTCTGACCATTAATCTCACATTTTCAGCAAATAACTTTTTAGCAATCACATTAGTTGTGGTAAAATAATATTTTTTGCATAACACTGTGTATTCTTTGTTTTTAATGAAGTAAACCAAAAAGAGAACAAATTGTGTTTTTATGACAAGCTGCTGAAAACAAAGTGCGTATTTAAAATGGATTCTTTGCACAGTTGTTTTGCGACCACAACACATCATCCCTTAAGTTTAAAAACATTTTTAGCGCCTGATCGATTTCTAAGTCAAAGTTAAGTGTCTTCATAAAAAGCAACAAACATTATTCTGTAAAATTGTTCGTTGTTCATTATTATCATTATTATTGACCGATTCTTTTTGTTCTCCACTTGAACATTTTTCATCATTTATTTTAAACACACTACACAAACTGCTGTCATGGTCAGCTACAAGAACTGGACAGGAAATTTTATTTTATTTATTTAAAGCAGCCAACATCCAAAGAAAAACTAAAAGTATGCGCAGACCTCCAGAAGGCCTGAAAAAATATTGCTCAAGACCACTTTCAAAGATTAAAAAAATAAGCTGGCACATGAAAAAAACAAGGACTAACTTGAGATTTTATGTGAAATGAGACCAGTGTGATTTATTCTCAGAGAACTGTCATATTTTACTCCCAGCATACATACAATGATTTTGTCTTTACTGTTTTTTGTCACGTCCCCATCCCATTTCTCTTACTAAATATTTATCTATGCTCAGATTCATGTTAGCTTCGCCTTTGATTACTGGAATATGGTTTGTTTTGTCAAAATATACAATTACTCATTTCCTCCTTTCGATCTTGTTCCCTGTGTGGATTGTAATCTGCATCATTTGAGGATGCCGTGAATGATGTACACTTTAGGTACATCTTGCTAGTACCAGATTGGACCACATTTTTGCCTTAGGAGCCATTTAAATGTTTTGTAGCATAGATTTAAGAAAGTATTGGAAATGTTCTTTAAAGATTTTGGTTCCCAATGGCGTGACAGCATCCCACAGTTGCTGCAGATTTATCAGCTGCACATCCATGATGTAAGTCTCCGGTTTCACCACATCAACATGCCAAAAGGTTTTAGATTACCGCCATGTGATTGGCTGATTAGCTATTTGTATTAATAAGTAATTGAGCAAGTGTACATACCCATCTTTTCTCCGTGGCTTGACTGCTGTTGGGTTTTATTGACAGTAAGTGTACACACTTTGACCCTGGTTGTCCATAGTAAGTGGCCGGTAAGTGTAGATGTTAAAAAAGGTGTTCTAAAACTGTTAACATATTTATTAATGTCTTTACAGGTTGCTGACAACACATTTCATCTTTCCTCCCAAAGCGTCCCATCCTCTGGAAAATGTCCCAGTATCTTCCCAGGTGTTCCGAAAGCCCAGCAGATGTAGTGGTGAAGTCAGGATCATACCTAATGTATTCTCAGAGGCATGGACTCTTTCCAGTTCACAATCTGCTTGCAGCTGCAGTTCCAAGCCAAACTTGTGTTTCATCTTTGCACAAAGTTTATAGTTGAATTTTCTATTTCAGTGATGCATTAAATAGGATCCTGCAGAACACTGCAGCTGTTTGATCCCTGCTGTACTCCACTATGTGTGTGGATGTAACTCCATTTAAATCTGTCTTTGCTATTTTATTCTTATCATTATTTCAATAAGGGGCTAAAATAAAACAGCTTTTTTGTGTGTCCTACCAATCAGGAGCCATTCACACAAACCTGTTGTGAGTTTGAAGACAGATTCCATTTATTTCAGTGATTTGAAGAAAACATCAAACTTCATTTAATATTTACACATTTAGAAAAGTACAATTGTGACTTTGTCTAAATTTTGCACCAAAACACCCAAATTTGAGTGGATGTTAAAAAAATGCTGTAGAGGAAGCGCACAGTGGCATCGTCAATAAATAAATCAGGAAACTTGGCAGATAACCAAGAAAAGTTTGCAAATCTACAAGCAAGTTCAGAGACGTGGGCCTTAGTTTCCTCATCAGTGATGATAGTGATGGCTGAGGTTGTTCAGCACCTCCTCGCTGAACTGGTAGGTGAGCTTCTTCTTCACCTTTTTGATCTCTCCAGTTTTCCCATAGTTTCTCAGAGCTCGGGCCATTTTCTGGTAGGTCATCTTTTTGCGGTTTCCTTTCTTTTTGCCCCAGTGAGTCGCCAGGACTTCTTTGTGTTTGGTGGAGAACTGGAAGATGCCCTTGTCTTGGTCCACCCACCAGATGCTGTCGTTCATGTCGCCCTTTCTGAGAAGGTCCAGGAGGAACTGGTACAGACGGATTTTCTTTTTGTTGCCTTTAAGGGGAAATGGGATGTCATTTATCAAACCTGCTTTAGTCCATTTTTTATATTATATATTATATTATTTATTCTTATTATGTTCTTCAGGTGTTTGTGGTAGGTATGGTGTTGAAAATACTCACTCGTGTCTTTCTTGAAGGAATAGCTGTAATCGTCCAACTCGTCCTCCCCCTCTGAGACCTGCAGCGGGTGACTGACGGGCCTTTGCTCCTCCTCTGAGTAGTAACGTCCAGGTGAGGCTGAGGGTGGGTACTGGTAGCACAGGGACGGGGTGTAATATGGGATCTTTAGGGGAAATTTAAAGCAAATCATAACTTTTTTCCCCTGTTGTTTTGCAGTATTTGCTCTTTGACTTTTTTATACTTTAACACTGCCTGTGCATTAAAAGAGGAAGTTGCTCTGCCAAAATAGTCTTCGTTGCTCAGAAACACCACGTGGTGTGGGTGACATTTAGAAGAAAACATCCCAGTGTTTCCACATCATTCACTGGTTTGAAAAAAGTGATCTAAATCTCTGTTGTTTTCATTAAAACAGTTTCTGAATGTACAGATTATTGTTTCTGCAACAGACTCATCACACAGTATTCACTAATGTGTGAAAAGTGGCTTCATGTTGTTTTAGCTGCGCTCACAAAAGAAGGTAAAATCCCATCAGTAATTTATTTTAATCTGTGCTGCCACTACTTAAAGTGATAATTTATTTTAATCTGTGCTGCCACTACTTAAAGTGAACCTCGTTTTCTCTATGCCTTCATGAACCTGCACTCTTGGGCTCACCTGTGATGTCAGGGAGAGAGGAGCAAGCGGGGCTTCCAGGTGAAGGTGCAGGGAGTCGTTGCTGTAGCGGAAGGGCTGTATGAGCTGCTGAGAGGACACCGCCTGCAGCTCCGTCAGGTGATTCACAGGAGAACTCTCAAAGTCTGGTGGCTGCACCCGATCGGAGTGGAAAGCCCATCTGTGGTCTGATATTTGTCATACATTTAAACCTCGTGACTGATCTTCATCTGTTTTTTTTCGTACGGGGTCTTTCTCACCTTCATAAAGCTCCCCCACCCCGCTCAGGTAGGGGTACAGGTCCACGGGTGGTCGATAAGTCTCAGGCTCATGTGAAATAATTTCCTCTGATGTCTTTGAAAGCAAAATATTAGATTAAAAATTAACCCTAAAACATACATTTGTGTGCCTCTAGAACACGCAGTCATTAGTTAATGACATGTCGTCAAAATGTTTACACAGTTTATTTAAACGCTGCAGTGTCTCAATAAAATTAATACATATAGTAAAACAAAAGCCATCTTTGCTCCTAAAACTCCATTCACACATAAAACTCTTACTGTCCTAAAGTCCCAAATGTTACAAACTCATCAAAGGTCTGTCTCGTTATCTGATATAAAAAAACAAAATGGTAACACTTACAGAAGTCAAGACAAAACCATCCATCATGTAAACACGGCAGCATGAGAATCTCAACTTTTAAGGCTTTAAGTTAAGTGTTTTTTCCTGTTCCTCCACAGAAAAACACGCAATGTCGACCTCGGCAGACAAATGGGAACTGAAAGTGAGAAATCAGCTCAGCCGGACCTCATGCAGTCTCCATTTATGTCACCCAATTGTCAGATTCATATGATCAGCCAGTTCCTGATGGGCAGTAATAACATTATGTTTCCTGCATGTCCCACATGTCAGATAGCTCATACGTTTGGACGAGAGTGCACTTTGAGACATGGTGTGTAAAGATATTTGTACTACAAGTTACCTTCTAAGTAGATTTTTAATGGATATATATTATATTAAATGCCCTGTTCCCTGTTTTCCATTTGCACTTGTTATCAGCTGTATGTGGCCTCAAAAGAGCAAATCTGCTACAAGCATATGATTTGTTTAATTAAAGGAAACTTCAGTTTTTTTAATCACAGTGAGACACATATATGATTAATTTGTGAAGGAATTATTTTAGACTCTTTACACAGGAGCTGAAACCAAAAGTGACGTTTGGAATCTGTCTTGTTCCCCTTTTGAGTTGGTCAGACTGGTTTTAATAGAGGAAGTGCTGAGCATGAGAATGAAACCAGAGAGAACGACTCAAATGGTCTGTGTGCACTTTTTAGGCTATTTGTGATAAAAAAAAAAAAAACTTGTTTCCAAGCAAGCTCAGCTAAAGTGTGAATAAACATTAATGTTTGAAAATCATTGCTTGACTGAACACATTTTTGTTAAATGTGAATATTATTCTTTTATATGCATATATAAGTCATATGAAAAAAAGAATATAAGTTAGCTAATTTGTAAGGATAAAAAAAAAGTTGCTGGAACATTTCAAAAGCTAACCTGGCAACAGATCAGTCACACAACGAGAGCTCCGGAGAGTTTCAGCATCATGATGACATTAAAAAAACTAAACAATGTGGAAACTTGTTTTGAGAATGACATTTCTAATAAATCTGGACGTTTTACCATCTGTGCCATGAAATATTCAAACATTCAGAACAGCATCTAGAATATGACCAAACAGCGAAGGAGCAACAGATCTGAGCAGGAGTCAGATCCTTGTGGAGTAATCTCTGCTTCAGCTCAGGTAAAACCAGTCAGCCCCGAGGTTTTATCACTCACGCTCAAGTAAAGATGAAACATACAAAAACACTAAACAGCACATTATGGCATCTCTTCTGGGTCCAATCTTATTTAAAATGAACCGATGCAACATGGACAATTAAATCTGAGAAAAGTAAGTTGCATCCTTTGCGCTAATAAAAAGTGACGTATTCTTCTTGATTTGTTGCTCAGTTCAAAACCCCAAATCCACGATACTGAGGTGCATTAGTGCTCGCAACAAGTTCCACTTTTCCATGATTCATGGTTTGGAGGAAGATGCTCCTTTAATATATTTTTTGGGAAAGCCTTCGATCAAGCTCTTCAAGGAACAAAGTTCAGCAAACTGCCTTTAAATCAGTTCAATGAAAACATTTGTTATCAACAGTAAAAAAATCTAGACAGTTTTTTTATCAGCTGAAATCTTATCACAGCAAGAGAAATATATTTTCAAAGCAATAAATTTAACATTTTGTACTATTTTCAATGAAAATGGCTCTAATGGAGACATGTAATAGTGTTTTGTTCAGACTTTTAGAGCTTATTATATTTTTGAATGCTGAGGCAAACTTCAATGGAAATTTACCAGTCAGGATGCGATGAAGCTGTTTCAGACCATGCTCTGAGCTTTATTATGGTCTGTCTGTTTTACTGAACATCTGAGACAGCAGCAGCAGTTGTTTTCACTAGATGCTCCACGGAGGAGGCAGGACGCTTCCTCTGGATGGCTCTCTTCCCACACACGATGAACCACAGTGCAGCCGGTGCACGTCTGGTTCAAGCTTTCTAACACTTGCTCTGTCTCCATCTACTGGAAAGAGGTGTTGGACCGACCAGTATCCAGGCTGACTTCACAGCCATAGAGGAGACAACCAAAATAGCTGGTCTAGGCCCGGCTTGACTTCGTCTTGCGCCTCGGAATTTGTCTCTTTTTGATCGCAGGAGGAAAACAAACAGAGCGCGCTGGTCTTACTGGGATGGACCTGCTTTTCAGGTTTCTCTCTGAATTCCCCCCACGCCTCATTAGCCACTGACAGCAGCAGCCAGGAGGGGAGCCCCGCCGTCCCGTGGATCCGAGGCCACTCCAGCACCACGCATGGAACATGGCTGCTATGAGGACTTTAACCGTGGCGGGTCTGGTTTTGGCTTTCTGCGCTCTGGGGCTCATCGCCGTGGCCATCAGCACCGACAACTGGTACGAGACGGACGCCAGGCGGCACCGGGAGCGCTGCAAGAACTACTCGAACAAAAGGAACGACCCGGGCTACATCTACATCTCCAACCTGCCGCTCCGGATGCTGCCGAGGGACAGAGCCGCCGGGAGGAAAGGCGGCGACGCGCTGCAGCTGCTGCGGGCCAAGCGCCACTTCCTGCCGCCCCCTGCCTCCGCCATGGAGTCCCTCTGCAGTCGGCATTTCAACTCCACCATCACGGGGCTGTGGAGGAAGTGCCACCGAGAGGGCTTCGACCTGGAGACGGAGGATTTGATCTTTAAAGGTTTGCTTTCTAAAGGGGGGGAGGGGGGGGGTATTTTATTGATTTATTTTTAAATGTTGTTGTTTTCCTGCTTGCGCCATCGGTTCAAGGCTCTGCGCTATCCAAGGTGCTGAAGCTGCGCACTGAGCCTCGGGGCCTGCACGCAGCACGGCACACCGTTACAATACAGTTCGTGCGTGTGCGCGTATGTGTGCGTTTGAATGTTTCAGCACAAAAAGGACGAGCTGTAGTAACAGAAGGCGCGAGTTGCGTGCAAGAAAATACAACACAATGGTGCGCTGTGGGTGGACGGGTGGGTGGTGGAAAGAGTGGGGGGGGGGGGGGGGGGCTGTATTTTAGAGACGAGGAAGAGGAGGAAGAGGAGGGGGGCAGCAGAGAGCCTCCTCGTCTGATCTGTTGTTTACAATCCTCAGGACTGATTCAGCGCTGCACGCCCATCAAATACTACTACTCTTCATCAGCGCTGCCCAGAAACCTGCCAATCAACCTGACCAAGACCATCAGGCAGGACGAGTGGCACGCGCTACGTGAGTTTCCTCCTGCGCCTCCTGTTTATCTGATGGATTCTCTCAAAACAAACCAGTTTTGTGTTTTGCAGACCTCCAGAGGATGACTGCCAGCTTCATCGGCATGGCCATTTCCATCATCCTGTTCGGATGGATCATAGGCGTGCTGGGCTGCTGTCAGGAGCATGATCTGATGCAGTATGTGGCTGGACTCCTCTTCCTCATGGGAGGTAAGATAGACGCACTGCCCTGGATCACCACATGGGGGCAGTGTGGTCTTTGAGAATTTGGGGGTTTGGTGACGCATCTGAGAGGAAGAAACTGAGCAGCTTCAGTGATCAATAAAATTAACTCAGGGGTTAGAGCATCTTTGAACAGACACCTGTGGCTCTTTGTACATGGACTGAGCAGAAAAATACCCATAAAGGCATCACTGACCTGGAAAACTGCAGTTTTAATTAAAACCCTGTCATTTTTCAAAGGAAGGCACCAAATCCTTTATGTTAAATTCTCAAACTAAAATCATCCTTGCATTTTAAAAATTCAGTGAACATCTAGTTATGCTTGATGTCACACAGTAATGTGAGTGTATGCATGATCTGGTAGCACTCCAAGATGACTCTCAGCTACTACAACATAACTTACAGCTCAGTTCTGTACTGTTGACCGATTTATAGACACTTTTGTGTTTTACAATGTTTATTAGTTCTTCAATCAGAATGACTCCAAATGTTAACAAATTATATATTCACATCTAATAATTAATTTCTGAGAATTTCAATAAAATCCACTCTGTGTATTGTGAGATGTTTTGCTAACAGACGGTGTTGGCTAACAGCTAATGCTGAAGTTTTAAACAAACATATTGAGTATTGTGTAGTATGTGCTGGGGATGATGCTCAGCTACAACACCAAATTTTAGAATTTCAGTAAAATCTGACCAGTAGTTCATGAGATATTTTGCTAACAGACAGACACCAAAGTTCATGCTACAATGGTCAAAATTCATGGTACAAATTCAACAATGTTCAGTCAAATCATCTGGACGAGTTCTTTTTTTTTTTTACTGAGATGTTTTGTCCTTCATGCAAAGGACATCTTCAGTCTGAGGAGCCATAAAAACATTGAGTTCCACAAACGGCATACTCCCATAGTGGAAAAAACAAACCAGTTTGCTGGTGATAAGATGGTTTCTGGTGCCCGCCCTCTCCCCCGTCAACTCCTCTAAGGCAGCCATGACAAAGTGGTTCAAACACCAAAGTGCATGCTCAATTATCCAGGTAGAAATCCAACAACGTTCAGTCAGGTCATCTGGACGGTTTCTTTCTTTTTTTTTCTGAGATGTTTCATCCTTCATCCAAAGGACTTCATCAGTCCAATGAGCCACAAATAAACTGGAGTCCCACAAATACCACAGCCTCATAGTGGGAAAAAAAACTTTGTTTTGAACCATTTTGGAATGACTGCCTCAGAGGAGTGACAGGGGAGAGGGTGGGCCCCAGAAACCATCTTATCACCAGCAAACTGTTTTTTTCCACCATGGGAGTGCGGTATTTGTGGGACTCCAGTTTATTTGTGGCTCCTTAGACTGAAGAAGTCCTTTGGATGAAGGACAAAACGTCTCAGCAAAAAAATAAAAATAAAAAGAGAAACCGTCTAGATGACCTGACTGAACATTGTCTATCAGACAGACACAGCTTAAAACACACACACACCCTCACACACACACACTTTATTAAGACACATGGATAAGTCTGAACACTGACCCTCACAGACTGAACCTGCCACCTTCAGTCTGTGGACCATCACTTAGTGCTCACCACTTTAAGGTCTGGCTGTGTGGTTTTTTGTTTGTTTGTTTTAATTTTTCTGCTCTCCATCAGGGACGTGCTGTATAATTTCCCTCTGCACATGCGTGGCCGGGATCAACTTTGAACTGTCCCGCTATCCCCGCTACATGTTTGGAATACCAGAGGACATCAGTCACGGCTACGGCTGGTCCATGTTCTGTGCGTGGGGCGGACTGGGCCTCACATTGCTGGCTGGTTTTCTCTGCACACTGGCTCCTTCCCTTTACCCCCCGCACACCCCTGTGGTGCACAAGCCCAGACAAGAAAATGGCTGCGTGTGACGGGCCAACCCGCATCCATCCCTGACTCCAGAGACAATTCTTGACCGAGGACTCAGTAAACCTCGACGCACGGAGGACAAACACTGTCTCCGTCTCACATGACAAAGAGGAGACATTTGACTGAATTTCGGTTCCTCTGGTGCTTTCTTTCTGCCCCACTTTATGAACAAACAGTTTACTGACATTGCTTGCTCTCCAGGAGGGGAACATGATCATTTCTTCCTGTAAAGTCTGCTAAATTTGAGAAGAAAAGAAGAAGAAAAAAGTAGGAAAAAGCAACTGTCAGAAGACAAATAGCACAACTTTGGTGAAATAAACTGTAAAAAGATAAAACTATGGATGTGTATCATCACATTTCAAAGGGCAACTGTGTATCATTATGTACCCATTGAAAACAAAATATGTACTTGTACTTTTTGACTTGTATGTATGCAGATGCATTTGTGTTTATTCAAGGGGAAAAAAGAGCATTAAGACCAAACTGTGTGTTTAAGGGAAATATTTTGTTCTTCTTGAGGTCTGATCCCCATCAAGATATTTTTTGAAAAATAAAACAGCCATGCAAAATGTTTTCTGCCTAAAACACTGAACAGACATCATGTAACTGTTTTTGTGGGCGTCAGAAGATCTGACATGAGTTTATTGGCGTGTCAAGAGGCAGAAAAACAGCAGCTGAAGGGATTTCTGACAGTTACGAGCAGCTATTTGCAGGCTGCTGTTTCATGCAGACGCCTCCATAAGAGCTTTTATGAGCAAATGTCAGCGGCCAAGATGTGAGTCAGAGACCAAAAGTGAGTGACAAAAGTGACAGAAATAGATCAATCCAAATAAAACAGAAACTAACAATGACAAAACTCTTCTGTGGCTGTGTTACAGTGAAATCAAATCCTCTTGTGTACATGTCATACATAAACAAATCCAGATTTCACGAAAAGATCCTGAGTATATACCCCCCAAAAAACCAAAACAGCACAGATTTATATTTGTACCCAGCTGCTTTTACTTTAAAACACTGGCTTTAGAGGATTTTACACAATTTAAAACTTCGTCTTTTAAGCGTATCACTGAGTAAATTGCAGATCAACACTGAATTCAAACAACGGCTCCTTTTAGAAAGTGACACACACCCTTTTATTGATGAAAACGGTGCATGACATACAGACCAACACCATCATAACTTACTTAATGCTGCAAGTGACTTAAATACACAGTCCAGGCTGTTTTCAGTCTATAACAGCACAAAAAGTGATCAACTCATATCATGTTTATTTTGTAAAAACTCAAGTTCTGCAGCATCAGCAGTAAAGGTAAACTTTGCAGTGAAGGAGATGCACGGTGCCCTGAGGGTTCTCTGATTCTGCCGTACACGAGGATCTGTGTCCACATCTTGGTGCGTCTTCATGGATTAAGTCCAAAACAAACCCTGTGTGTGTGTGTGTGTGTGTGTGTGTGTGTGTGTGTGTGTGTGTGT